TACAGTATTTGAAAAATAATGTGTTTTTTTAACATTAAAGCATGTCAACATATTCTGTTACACCAAATACACAAAATAATGATCTTTAAAAAAGCATCATATGACCCCTTTAATGTCAACAGTAAACCTCAGTTTGTTTGCCAAAAAATAAAAGGGTTTAATATTCATTTGATTTAAAATAAATGTTTAATGCCTTCATTTGATTTTCAGAAAAATTTAAACAAGAATTTCTGGGAAAAAACGGGGTACGCCGATGGGTACCAGCACCGAAATTCAGGTACTGATACCAGTACCGTACTGGTTAAAATGTGAATGGTACCCAACCCTAGCTGAGGCTCTGCCTTCTTTCACGCAGACTCTTCTCTGGGTTAATTTCGTCTGTCGAGTCCTTGGAGGTGAGATGTCCGTGCAGTGGAGAGCCGCTTTATAGTAGCAAATTAGGTTTTGCTTTTGATGAAATGAGACACTGACACTGTTTTTCATGTTTAATACTGCTGCTTGCTTTTAAGCAATATATTGAATAAAGTGCCATGTAAATACACATGACACGACTTCACGGGAGTGCTGATTTGCAGAGCTCATGCAAACACACCCATGTTGCTATGAACAGATGCTTTTTATAAAAAAAAAAATGCTTGCTGTTCTCTCCATTTTTGTTGTGTTTATTTTGTTACTGAGAGGAAAGCGCACAGCACATATTTACATATTCATATACACGTTGCTTTCATCAGAGTGGGCGGCATCGGGATGTTCGATAACAGTGTACCGCTGCACATGTATTTTGAACTTCGTTTTACCCCTAAACAAAGAACGACAAAGAACTTTGCTTTAAGTATATCAGGGCTTTTATGGGATTCCACCACCGCAGGCCAGTCTAAGAAGCAGTGGAAGGGCCAAGGGGGAGGCCGATATTATTAAGAATGTGAAGAGAGGTGAGAAAGGCAGGAATATGCAGTGCGAGGGGAGGAAGAGGGGTGTGATGTGGCTGAATGGAATTGTCTGAGGTGAGAGATGCAAAAGAGTGTTTGGAAGTTGGTCCTTTATGTACGCCCCATTCCCCCTCGTCTGTTTCCAGCAATGGAACAGGGTAACACCACTCCTCCAGGCCTGGGTTGCTGTGCACTGATTAAAAAAAGTGTGTAAATGTAAGTGTGTGTGTGTGTGTGAGTGAGTGAGTGAGTGAGACCGGGTGCATAGGGGGGAGGCAGGAGTGTAAATGGAATTTGTGCAGCAAACAGCTGGACTAGTTTATTTAAGCACAGTCAGGCCATAGTGACTGACCCCAGATTGACTTGGGGAGAGGAGGAGCCGAGGTGGACTTTTATGACTTTTAGGTCGAGATGAGATGCTCGTATTTATGAAATTTGCCTTGAGGCATGCCAACATGTGAATTACTAATTACTTAAGTAAATCGTTCTCTGGAGCAGATACTGATAATAAAGTTGGTTTCACCAGAGGGGTCTTATTGCGTGATTAGCTGGTTGAAGTATAGCAGTTAGCAAGTTAACCGGTGTGGGGGAAGATACTTTGAAAATGTAGTTTGCCAAGATACAAGCTACACATTATTTGAAACTGTTAAACTCCAGTTGAGCTATGAAATAGTTATTTACATTACAAGCTAACAAAACATAGCAAACTACATTGTAGCTACTTAAGGAATCAATCTAGTTTTAAATGTGTAACTATTTGATGACACAATTTATATTTTATTTTTTAAGTATGATTTAATTTATATAATTTAAAACTGGCACAAAAACTGAATGAGTGTTTCTGAATGAAACTTATATAATTAAATATAATTAGCATTTCATTAAATATTCTGCTTTATGTGTGTGTGTATATATATATATATATATATATATAAAAAAAAAAATTCTCAAATATTAAAGAATACCTAAAATGTAATTGAGGGCTTAAATATTTATTTTAATTTATTTATTTTTAATTTTAACAAATTAATGGTTATTACTTTATGTATGAATATTACTTAGTTGGATGTGTGTGTGTGTGCGCAATACAGTGCAACATTGAAAACAGCAATGTAGTGTTGTCACAAAGCAGTTTGTAACTGGAAAGGCTACAATGTTTTGAAAACATCTGAGCTACTGTCACACTACTGAAAATATAGTTTGTAGGTATTTTTAACCAGTTACTACCCAACACAGAGTTACCACTATGATTAAGTTGATAATGCACACTTTATTTTAACTGATAATTATCCTAAAACCATAACATATTTTATATCTTTTCTTTTAATGCATATTTTTACTGGAGATTCATGTAGAGCCACAGATGCAGATCCGAATCATCAGATCATTCTATTCCATCGGTATTACTGATATGCCTGTTTGTGGGTTTTTAATATACATGTAAATGTAGCTGAGTGTGTTGAAATGCGATTTCATGAGTGAATTTGGTCCTCCGTAGTCAAGCATGCGCCCCCTCACACAGTTTACATTTGAGGCAGAGGGAAAGAGCGAACGTAGGGGGCATTTCTGAGAAAAATGACGTGCTTCATATGCATTTAGATAGACATACTGAAATATAACCTTTTGTATCTTCAATCTGGATCTATCCAGCAACGCTTATTAAATTATTCCCTAATCGGTCACGCAACAAAGGCAGCTGATGAAAAAGACAATTTCTTGCTTTTAATTGGCCATTTCACGTGCCGTTCGTGCTACACCTGTGCGTTTGTAATGAGAGTGGGATATTAGCGGAGGCCCTGGCAGACCCGACAGAGATCAGATTGACTGTCAGTAAAGTAGAATGAGCAATATTGCTCCAACACTTTACGAAACACGCACACATGCTAATAGAATGTGAAGAACTAAACCTCTATCAAGGTTCATTTGGCTCATAAACACTCTCATTTCAATCATTTTTCTCGTCCTTTTAGTGAAGCTGTGTATTTTTAACCCTCCTCTTTTTACCCTACTTTGGAGGTGCCACCAGTGGCGTTTTGCTTTAAAATAGCCCCCCATTGTCCCAAGCTGGGCTGAATAGTTGGCTTCATTGTGTGTCTATGGGAAGTAGAAACTGAACAGGCCATAAATGCAGTCCTATAGCACAGAGAGGTCGCGCAAAGGTGAACTTTTACTCCTAATGGAGGCTCCAGCTTTAGCCTGGCCCGTATGGCTCTCTGCTCCTTTTGATTGCCTTCTTAAACGTCAGTGCCAGGGCGTCCGCCTGGCTCACAAAACAAGAGCATGACCGTTCTTTCTCTTTTTCCTCACACTCCTACACCCCCTCCCTCACCCTCACCACCTCTCCATCCCCCTGCCTGGTATTGTGTAGCACTTGTCCTTTGTTCCAGCTTTTGGCGCATCTGGCCTTAGATATAAGAAGGAATGAGAGAGGAAGCTTAAGATACCTTTAAGAAAGAAAGAAAGAAAGAACAGCCATTTCCACAATTTGAAAAAAAAGTGAGTGGAAAAAAGGCAGAGGGAGAGCAAGTGAGCGAGGGAGGAAAATCCAAACGTCAGAGGTCAGCAGATAGACAACAGTGCCCCCCCTTTGACCCCAGCCTGAGATGAAGGCAGTAAAAGGAATGCCTAGTCTGAGACTCCCCCTGCTCTCCAGCCCGCTGCTAGTGATAAAACTCCAGACATTCTCTCATTTGATGATGCACTGCCATGTCAGTACATTCCTCCCCTGATCTTTTTTTTTTAAGCCTTTAAGGTGATGTCGTAGAGTGATATTGGTGATAAATATATGAGAAAGTTGAGATCTCTGGTCAAATTAATTTAAAGGAACAAAAACATTATATTAAAGTTTTACGCCACGAGAGGCCATTTATTATAGTAAAAATCCCCTTAATCATGGTAAAATCTAAAATCATGGCTCACTTAAAAAAAACAATTTTTCAGTAGGTACATTTATTAATTACATTCTGAATATTAATAATATTAATATATTGATAATAATATAGTTAATTATCCAAATCGTAGGTGGTTTATAGTTGCATGTTCCAATGGCTTAAACACAGTAAAAATTTAGAGCTGGAATGATCCGTTTTATAATTAATAAATAAGAAGCTTAGCAGATGCCTATGCGAACATTTCTTTGTCTGTTAGTCCTGCTCTTTTTCTTTATTTCTCCCTTTCTCTCACTCTCTCCCTCCACCCCAAGCTCTCCTCCCTTACTTTTCTCAGCCTGAAAAGAGTAGCGGGGCTATTGTTTCCTTAAAAGTCTACTAATTCCCCCCTTAAAGGATGAAATGGAAGTGTCCAACTGTGGTAACAGCAGGAGGACATAAATCAAGTTGGAACCCCTGAGCATGGTGACCAGGGTCACGGGGTCACTAGAGGGGATTTAGGCACAACAAGGCCAGAGCACTCCGATGTATGGTGCAAGGAGGCTGGGGGTCAGAAGCTACAGGGGCCAGTTATGTTTTTGTCACAAATGTTATGCACAATATGCAGAATTGCGGAGCAGCCTGTTCTTTCTGGCGGGGAAAAAAATCTCCTCATTGAACACACAGTTTCATTATTCTGCCTCTAGGGAGACACAAGGAAAAAGAAAACATGGCTTGTACTTGTGTTCTTTGACAATGCAACACTTTTCTGTTAGCAAACATTTTCTAAACACATTAATTCCTGTGGTGCATATCAACTGTGTTACATCTGGCATCAGGGTTTGAATGGTTCAGTGGTTTAAAATAAAGTTGTTAAAAAAAAGTAAAAGGAGTCTCTTGAACTGCATAGAATTTTCTTCAAAGTGCTTTTGTGCACTTCGCTTAGTAGGCAATATATATTAAGCTAGCACAAGTTTGTACAAGTCATAAGCTTTGTGAACATTTCTGTGTTATGGAACAACTCTCTGACACTCCCGCTGGAGTACTAGAGGATTAGAGAAAAAATCCCTCAATTACCCCTCTGATTAGCTATTTTGGCTGATCTGGACAGCAGCAGGCTTGGACGTGACTGTGTTTACAGAAAAAGACAGCAAAATCTCCAGTGACTTTTCAGTCATATGTTGCATCTCCTTGTTTTTTATAGGTTCATTAACGCAAGAAGAAGAATAGTGCAGCCCATGATCGACCAGTCCAACCGAGCAGGCAAGTCCCCCATAGTTTCTGTATTCAAGTCCCACAGGCGAAAGCCCCCTGCAAGCCATGCACCCGGAGGCCCACCTGCCGGTAAATACTTAGCCCAGCCTGGATGTCAACAATGATTGACCACTAAAATTCATCCAATTAACCAAAAGCACTAATCATGCTGACTTGGGCACTATATAACCCAGTGACGAAGAGAAGCGAGAAAACGCATACAATGGATTGAAACAATAACTATAACTGGATCCTCTCTATGCAACTCGTTATACTGGAGAACAGTGGAGAGTTGTTCGGCAAAGTACAGAGGATATTAAACATTTTTTTTCCCCTTTTTATTTACTTATTTATTTTTTAAACTTCATATTTTATTTTGTAGAGGCAATGTTTGCCTCCTAGCTCAGTTCTTCCTGTTAGTGAACAGTGCCCCTGGTGCATGGCTTGTTGTGGACTGCTGTACAGTTTATTACCTGTAATTGGGTTCAGGGGGCAGGGATGCATTAGGGACCCAGTAAAGTTCAAAGGCATTCATTGGGGTTGAGCTGTTGATTTTGACCAAATAACCCCCCAACACACACACACACACACAACACACACACACACACACACACACACACACACACACACACTTTCAACAGCGTGAACTCACGGTAAGTACATCTCAATTAGCTTGTGTGGATAAAAAATTATCACTTAGGTTTTCCTCATTTTTTTGTGTCATCTAAAAATGTTTCCTGTATCTATAGAATATAGGCTTAGTTTTTTTGTTCCTAGTACTTAAGCTTCATTGGGCATGTTCTGTCAAGTGTTTTATCTCTCACGAAACCCAAAGAAACTGTGTGAAATGCATAAGTCTGCATGTGTGTTAACAGATGATGTTTCTCCAGCGACTTAAACTTAATTAAAAGCATTAATTGACCACTGTTCATTTCCCCCACATTCCCTGACCATGCCCTCCTGCAGTAAGTCAAGGAGCTCCCTACAACCCAGATGGTCAGCCCGTGGGAGGCTTCGTGATGGACGGCCAGCAGCACATGGGAATCAGACCACCTGGTAAGACCTTGGCGTGTCTTCTCCTCTGACATCTCCCACCTTCCCACAAGCCCCCTCCTTCTCTTCCGCACTACCTCCTTTCTCAGTCTGATTCTAAGACCCTTGGCTAGCATAGGTGTGGTCCAATGCATTACATCCCTTTGTCCCTGCATGCTTCCTTTCTGAGACCTTGGCTTTCTAATACCCATCTTCCCAGAATTTGCTCTTCTCTCTGAATCCAAGCTTCTTCCACCCTGTGCAACTGGTCACTGTTGCTAACCACTCACCCCCCTCCCACCTTGCCAGTTAAGCTGCAGGATTTATCTAAAGCTAGGCTTCCTTCTAACCTTTAGCCTTTGAATGCATTATTTACTTGTTTATTTACTTATATTGTCTTATTTGTGCCATGTGGTGTTCTTCTCTTTTCTTTTAATAAATGGGGGATTGTGCTTTTGTTTCTTGACCTCCTGTCTCTGAGCTGTGGTCTGTTTATTTTCTCATCTTTCGGCATCTTCTTCTTCGATTGTTTTCTCTCCTTCTAGGGCCTATGAGTGGGATGGGCATGAATATGGGCATGGAGGGACAGTGGCACTACATGTAACCTTCTAGTTAACCAATCGCAAAGCAATGGGGGAAGTAAGTACAAAAGCAGGGTCACCAAGCATCCATAATGTGTGACATGTTTTCAGCAATTAATTTGAATTGCTTTTACGAAATGGGAGAAACAAAAATGTTGCTTTTCCTCCAGAAAACAAGCTGCTTTCTCCTGCTTAATAATACTAATATTTCCTGTACTTGTGGGTGACAAGCTCCGATCAGGAGTTTTTGTGCTTGTGTATGTGTATGATCTGTGCTGCCCTTTCTTACTTCTGAACATTTTTGGCCATGTTACTAAACTGCATAAAGTCATAGAAAAAGGGGAAATGAGTGTGGGCGAAAGAGAAAGAGAGAGCAGGAGGAGGAATAGCTGTGTGGGGAAAGAGGCAAATGGAGGGTGGGGGGATTGAGATTGGGGTTTTGGTCGGAGAAGGGGAGGGGTGTGTTACCCTAGCAACAGACTGATTGGCAAAATGTAAGCAGTCTGCAGCAGTGCAAGGAGAGAAAAGTGCATGTCCCCAAAGTGTCATAAATCTGTCTCCCTACAGTTGATGCATGAGTTACATTTATACACCAACCTGCGAGGCAACACACAAAGAATCGCTCTCTCACCCTGCAGCCAAATACATAGCCACACATTTGGAAATTATGTCAGTCTTGCGTGGAATGTTTTAGGTGGAGCTGCTTCTATCGACCCTGACTTGGTCCACTATTTCCTTGTCTGTCTTTCCTAATAGGATTACTAATGGCAAAGGCAGGGGAGATGAAGGAGTGCAAAATGGAGGTGTGCACAGCAGGGTACACAGCTTAGTCCAGCCTAATTGACTCTATCCAAATTAAATATGCCATCACAAGCAGTGAAACAAATTGATTTGACTTATTCAGTATACAAAAATAACGATCATTAATGCAGCCAAGCACAGAATACCTCTGTTGTCAAAGAAACTCTCTACTTCACTGTCTTTAACCGAGAGACATAGGCTGATAACACAAGCTCTGCGCTTTAAAATGTCACATGCCCACTTTGTGTGCGTATCTAAACACTGAGAGTGTTTCCCGGTGTCCAAATGGCTTCTTACAGCAGCTGCTGTAGTTCCCAGAAGAGACGAGAGAAACCTGCTTTAAACAGCCTCAATTTGCTTGCCGAATTCTGTAATTGGGCCACGTATAGAATCTTAGATGAGATGGGTTGAGGGGAAAAGAGAGTGAGCGAGAGGGGGAAATGAAGAAAGAAAAGGAGGCAGAGTGTGACAGAAATATGTTGCCACGGTGAAGAATGCCTGTTCTTTATGGCTTCATCACTGACATCTCCTAGCTTGTCTAATTTAAATGTTGTTACTATAGTTTCTAGGTCAATTAAATGTAAGTGATGTGTTTTATACTTTGCGACCAATTAAATTAATAGGTTATTACAAAAAAAACGTTACCTTATTTGATTAAGAGACCAAGGATTCATTATATTTTATAAGCAATTTTCATTAGTTGAGGAATTCTCCTCAAGGCGAGATTAGGCAGTTATTTGCTGGAAAGTCCCAAGACCTAAAATTAAGGTGTTCCAAGCAGTCACACTGCAACATTACTTAAAACCAAAGCCAATTAAACCTACTTAGCAAAGCGTTATGCTTTCTGCCCATGACGATTATAGAGCTTATAGCTCTCCGAAACAATACACCTGTCAGCGTGGATAAAGCCTAACTACTCAAGCAGAAGAGGGCGAGCCTTTGATAAGCGAGGGAATGACTGTTTTATGACCATTTTCCCCCGTACCGTTCTTTGTGTTTCTTCAACAAAATTAGCCAAGGGTGGCCAAAAATTTTTCATTTTACTTTCAAGGCAATAGTGAGCACAGAGAGCATTAATTATGGGCATATGGACAAAAATGTTGCCCTCCCCGTCCATACTTGAACGCAGCTGGTATGCTTTGGTGCGCTGGAAGCTCTGCTGGAGACTCCTTTGTCTGAAATTTCATTCCTCCCATTCATTAAGCAGAAGTTTGTTAACCTTTTGCAGGGTCAAGGTACCCATTTTCTGCTCTGAACTTTTACTTTTAAGGGGGGAAAGGGTCTTCAGGGATTTGGCTCCTGTATTGTCTATGTCAAACATCCCCTGTTGATTCGGTCCCATGGCACCTCTGAAAACAGACAGGCAACTCAATGTATTGATTGACTTATTAAGTGAAAAACCACATTTGCAATGTGTGCCCTTTTAACATCCAAGCATTGCTTTTCTGATGAAGTGGATGTTTTCCCTCCTCACCAAACAACGTGTTCAAGGATTGAAATCAAATACAGCTGATGACCCCTCAAAAGCTCAGGTCAGGCCTTTAGTAGTAAATAATTGCAGGGGCATACAGATTACCGCTTCACATGCTAGTGCAAAACACCAACCATTATATATGCCATTCTACGGCTGAAACCTAAAGACCTACAACCAAGGCAATAACAAAAGGGATGTTTTTTTAACTTGAGGTTGATTTGTTGCTTTGTATTGCCGCTGTCACAGGGTTAGTGGCCTTTCTGCTTGTGGCATGTGCACGCACCCAGGTGAGGCCTCTCAAGTGATGGCCTTTGTAAATTTTAACCTTTCGTCTTTAATTTAAGCACAATGGTAGCGTTTCTCTGAGGGGCTCTCAGAGCGAGCCACAGACCTTTGCTCATTGTGTTTAAAGTGAGATAAGTGTGGGGAGAATGTAGAATAAAGGAATGGCTTATTTTACCTCATTTGTCATTGTTGTGGCTTCCACTGCCATAAAGACTTGGCTCGTGGACACGTAGCAGTTCATTTCCTCCTATGTGCCAGTTAGTGTTAGACTTCTCATTTATATCATTTTGAAGGTACAACCTTTACTAGCATGTGATTAAAATGTTAAGAGAGAGTAGATTTATGGATAAAAAATTATTGTTGTAAAAATTATCATGTGCCTTTTAAAATATAAACACATCATAGTCACTGTTATCCAGAGGGGAGACAATTATAAAGATTTCATCATAGCATTGTTCTCTGAGATGAATATAAAATTAGCAAATTAAGTCTAATAACAGCTAGATATCAACCTCCTGATTGACCTTAGTGAAGGACAACCTTCCGGTTGACTAGTCAGGTATGACTGTGGCAGATTCCAGATCTGATGGATACAGCACTGAGTACAGATCCCTGGTGCAGGCAGCAGTAAAGTGCTATGTTCAGGCCAGTGAGTTAGTCCCTAGAGAGCCACCCTCTCCCACTACACAGATTCCTCTTCTAGTCTCTTCCCATTCATTACAGAGGACGGTCCTCTCTCCAAGGATTCTCTTACAACCACATAACTCATATGCTTTCTGGTGCTGTGATTGTGGAGTCAAACCTGCCTTGTAAAGGAAACGATTGGCTTGATGACCTCCCAAAATATAATATATGCAATGTTATGTCTGACTATTCCAAATGCATCAACAATAATCGCTATAATCTTCTTCTTTTTTTTTTCTTCCCAAGGACTACAAGGCATGCCAGGGGATTACCTGTCACACAGTGGCCCGGTGGGTATGGCTATGGGGCAACCAGGCTACGGCGCCTCCCAGATGCCCCACCACCCTGCTCAGTTGCGGCACGGCCCTCCCATGCATTCCTACATCCCTGGACATCCCCACCACCCAGCGATGTTAATGCACGGAGGACCACCTCACCCTGCCATGCCCATGTCAGCCTCTAGCCCCCCTATGTTCAATCCAGGAGACCCTACTATGGGAGGACAATTCATGGACATCCATGCCCAGTAATTTACTAAAATGGATTCTTTAAATGACTGCTATGGATAGAAGAGGAGCTGCGATTGGTTTTTCTGGGGCTTGCCAAGCACGATTATATACTGACTTGTTACAGAGACTGAGGAGCTTGCATCTTGGCTATAGATTCGGACTAAGAAAGAAGCCCGATTTCTGTATACTATGGGATGCTTTAAAAGGAGGTGCCCTTTGCTTAGACACAAAAAGTGAGAGAGAGAAAGAAAGATTGGATTTATTACTATATCAGCCTCTAAAGGGGAGGGATGAGGACATACTGTATACTGTTGTAAAATTGCATTGGACTTTCATATGAACTGGGAAAAAAAGTATTGTAAATGCTATCGTATTGTTCTGCATATTATGTTGTTTCTAATAGATTTTTTTTAAAAAGGATGTGAACTTTTTTTCTTTCCACACTATGTGTGTGCCATCTCCATAGACTTTTGGCCTCCTCCATAAATCACTGCGTTTAAACGAGAAAAAAAAATATGTGAATAAATCAATAATTAATTGAATACATATTTGCCAGGCCATTTTTTATTTATTTTTTGTCCTGCAGGAGGGCAGATTTCCCATGACCCATCACGGCCTTAGGAAGAAACTGAGTGCTGTCCACCTGTCTGAGCCACATCCTCCTGCCTTTCAGGAGGTCTCCATTTTGCATTCCCAATACATCATAATAGAACTGCCCCCACATCATTGGAACCAATGAAAATTATTTTCACTTACCTTTACTGGATGTGTGAGAAGCTGAATGTGAAGAACAAGCGTGTGTGTGTGTGTGTGTGTAAAGCCAACCCATCAAACTTTCAGCATTTAAGTTATAAATGGGATTTGGGATTCTTTTGATTAAGCAAACCTGTTTTTGGGGATATCGGTTTAACGTTTTGCTATCACTTGTTTGAATTTTGAAGAGTTTATGTATACATTGTAAATGAATAAATTTTGTGTAAAAAGAGGGGGAACTATTTTTCATATATTTGTGGTTTCTGGGCCTGGTTTGATTTTACATACGACTGGTTCATTTTATGAGGCTGTTAACTGACCAAAACTTTCAGGCTTTGTATGGCTGTCATTCACAAAATACTATAAATCCTTTAAATAGTTTGGGTTATTTCATTTCACAATGTTTTCAGATACCAAATAACAGCGTAGTACTCTATTTCATTCAACGTCTTAATAATGTCTTAATACATTATTTAAATCATTATCCACCATTAGATATCTTTATTTTTAATACTAAAAATCTTCAAAATAGTTATTCATTAGCATAGCCAGTGTTCATTTTACTTTGATGTGCCTTTTTTTTTTTCCTTGTTCATTTTGATAACCTGGATTACATTCTTTTGCCACCCTTAGTAATGAATCCAAAATTCAGTCTCCTGATCTAATTCTAATTCTGATCTAATTCTCCAAACTTCTAAAGTGTTCAAATTTGTGGTATGATCAAGACCATAAGATTATTATGCAGGTGTTCGAATCAAACTATATGGGTCCATAAACCACCTATAGATTCAGCCAGGGGTTATAATTTGAGACTTTTATAAAACAGTCCTATCCCATTGAAAATCTTTGGGTCACACCTTTCAGCTGTGTCCACAGAGTAATTACATTGAGTAACACAAATGAACAGGAAGTTATTTTATAAATAGCATGTAATTACAAATTGTTTGTTATAGGCTAATTCATTCTAATAACACAATGTGAGTTATTAGAAAACACTAAGGTAAAATGTGAACATGGTCTGAACATGAGGCTCTTAGTGCACAAGGTGAGTCCAACTTTACGACTCTATATTGAAATGTTTGTCTAAAAGCTGCAAAGTCAACGTTCATACATTTGCTAATGTGCAACAAATGTGCGGCCCGTTCGGGGGCTAGATGAGGTGAAGGGACGGATAAAGGAAGAATTATCCCCCGTTTAGCATTAAAATTCATTTAGATAAAATTGCCACAAACACTTAAATAGGAAGATTAGTTCCCCCTCACGCCTTATTTCACTCACTCAATGGCTCCGTCAAGAGCGCTTGAAACGGCATTATCTAGACGGCTGTTTCCAAGCTACCCGCTAAAACCGAGCGCTTAAATTATTCTAAATCAGACACAACTATTCGAACTATATGTTTACGATGGATTCGATACGACCACGACAGGGAAATGTGGTATATTCTTGTGGGAATCCTGGAAAATCTTACCCAGCTTATAACTAAATGGGTGCTGCCATGTTAAACTACACTCCCATAATAAATCAATAAGTTCCCTTTCTTAAACCCGTCCCTCAGTTTTCTGTCGCCATTGTATTTTTATTACCTTCTCTTCGCTGAATGTTTTGCTCTCAAGCAACGCGGAACACAGGCGACGTTTTAATGACACCGTTTCAGCTCCTCAGATTTGAATTCCTCAACCGTCCGCCATTCGGTGCTCTGGAGACACGGGCGGAGATAAATCCCATGTTTGACTGCCATCTTTAGGGGATCTGGGAAACTGTCCTTAAGGGGCATGTATATTTTATATCTTGAAGTTTACCCAGATATACATTACGGTCTGAAATAGTCGATTACTAAAATGATTTAAACATTTTTTTTTTTGATGATTTTGCGTAGCTAAAATAGGCTAAATAAATAAATAAAGTGTTTGTCACGCTTTATACGACGGTTTATGTTAACATATAACAACTACTGAGTAATATTCATGAACAATATATAGCCTATGCCATAGGCTATTTATTTAATTCCTTTTTTTTGAAGCACCGATTGTTTATTGTTGTTGCTGTTGTAATTAACTGTTTTAATACGTAGCTAAGCTAATGTGTAACAATAATACCTTTAATAAAGCATTGTGTTTTTTATGTGCTGCTAATGCACAGCTAGACCTTTTCAAATCGATGTATTTTAATAAATATAGGCTATCAGGAATAATACCTACATACAGAACATTAGTTTAGAAACATGTTAGTTCTAAACAAGTTTCCTAATGAGCGTTTCCTGACCTTTGCAAATGAACATGATTATTGATTTTCTTCATTTATCTGCAGTAAAAGACATATAAGGACGACGCCTTTTCCATCTGTTGTTTAAGAAGAAAGAAGAAAGCTTTTGTCTGGCTTTGACCACATACTGAACTCTGTGAGTAATGACTGAAAGAAATTTGTTCCATAAGCACAGAGGTGCCCAAACAGGACTTTCTGCCTCCCATAAAGAGCAGCATGGGCTGTGCTGTTGCATGTTTCTGTCATCTGTACTCTGTATTCAAGTAGTTTTGCTTCAGTTTGAAAACTTTCACATTTTTTTTTTTTTTTTTTTGAAGAACCCATTGTTTATTGTTTTTGCTGTTGTAATTAACTATTTTAATGCGTGGGCTAATGTGTAACAATAATAGGCTACGTGTAATAAAGCATTGCGTGTATTTTTATACTGCCAATGCACAGCTAAACCTTTTATCAAATCTATGTAGTTTAATAAAGATATCAGGAATCATGCCTACATACTGTACAAAACATTAGAAAGATCGGTTCTCTGTTAGTTCTTCTGTTAGTTCCCTGAGTAGGTAGCCTAAGTTCCTTAATGAGCGTTTCGTGACTGTTGCAAATGAACATGATTATTGATTTTCTTCATTTATCTGCAGTAAAAGACATATAAGGACGACGCCTTTTCCATCTGTTTAAGAAGAAAGAAGAAAGCTTTTATCTGGCTTTGGCCGCATACTGAACTCTGTGAGTAATGACTGAAATAAATTTGTTCCATAAGCACAGAGGTGCCCAAACAGGACTTTCTGCCTCCCATAAAGTGCAGCATGGGCTGTGCTGTTGCATGTTTCTGTCATCTGTACTCTGTATTCAAGTAGTTTTGCTTCAGTTTGAAAACTTTCACAAAGGGTCATGTGTCTTCGCAGCACGCCGCAGTTGCAGTGGCAGATGCAAATGTGGTCCACTCTCCAGTCACTGGTCATATTTGAGAGGGTTATGTCCACTCCATGAAATGTGTGTGTGTGTGTGTGTGTGTGTGTGTGTGTATGTGTGTGTGTGTGTGTGTGTGTCAGTGATTGATTTAATTTTATCTTTTTAATTCATCTAATTTACATTCTCCCACAATTGCTTTGTTTAATTAGAAATGTAATATAATAAATAATACAACAATGAAATAAATATTTACACCTACAAATATGTCAAGAACATATACCGTATACCATATGATTTTAGTGGAAGGTGCTATAAACAACTGAAGTTAGCCTATATAAGGAATCGTGATTTTAAAGTATTGCAAGCATATGCAATTGCAATCAGTGCAAGAATGAAAGTGTTTTAGTAACCAAAGCAACATTTCGCGTTAGTTCAAATAAAGTAGGCTATTTAATAAATTTTAATAAATTAATATTATTATTATTTTTAAATATGTGCTTATATGTAAAGTAAACAGCCTATGTCACTTTCTTTTTCACTTGTCTTTTATTTTCTTGTTTATTTTGAAGAACTCATAAGACAAATGAATGCACATTTCGGCAATCTCACAGGCCGACCTCAAAACAAATAATAATAAAAAAATCGCTTAAATAAATGAATATAAACAGCCAGGTCGATTTATATAAAATTGAAAGACCAATAGGCTAAATAGACAGAATTGTGAGAAACCGATGCCTGATATGTCTGTATAAAAGTGCAATTTTGTTTCACTAACGTCTCAAGCGTGTTACCACATAGAATAATGTTATGTGGCAGCTGGTGGACTACTAGAGAGAAGTCTGGAGAGAAGAGATGGGGTCTCCAAAACTGCAGGGCCATTTTGGATGTCATCTGTTTCCTTGGTGACTTCGCCCACCCCTGAAAGCCCCTGTGTGTGTGTGTGTGTGTGTGTGTGTGTGTGTGTTAAAGGGAAATAACAATGTTTTTGTGCAATCTCGTGAAAGCAAACTGCATTAAAAATTAAGTTACATAATTCGACAAAATTACAACATGTTTACATAAAGAGACATATTGCGTGCAAAACAGCACAAAATAAAATTATTAAGTAATAAGGTTTGGAACTGAATGTTTATGAGGACTTAATGCAAGAACTTGTTTGCGCTAGAACGTATCTCTAAGACTGCAGCAAAGCAAATAAATAAATAAACAATTATTTTAACGGAAAACGCAATTCATAATTTTTTTAAGTAAACACCAATTAAATAAATAAATACATTCAGATTATAGGCTATATATATGCTATCTTTCTTTTTTTAAATTAAGCTAGTGCTATTATATGTTTTGTTAAGTGTTTTGAATAGCGGCAACACCACTGAAAATATACGATTGATATATTTTTTTATTTACTGATGCATAACTTGAGCTCTTAGCTCTGTTATGGCACAGAAGAGCTGCTGTCGTCAGATATGAATACAGATATTCCACAAGACGTGCGTGTTAGTCTGTTCC